AAGCAGGAGACTTTGACATGTAAGTCTCTCAATTTTGCAAGCATCAGTCAGCATCAATATTTGAAATGTGCAGCTTTGGCTGCCAGGATTACTCAATGAGTCACTTGTGAGTAGTTATTATAAATAATATTTTTCTCACTTTGTCACTCTTATCTACTGTTTTGCTTTTTGACAACCTCTCATATCTCATGCAGTTCATGTTAGAACTGTAAAAGGAATTTCATAACAGCCATGGGACTGAGTAAGTGAGTAAGACTGTGAGTAATAACTGTTGACTATTGTTAAGTTTCTGTATCTAGCATCTAGTAACATTACATGTCAAGACGTTTCATCATAGTCAAGTAAACGTAACTAAAGCCCTACGCATGAAGATTCATTGCAAATTTGCAATGCCCATAAAATCCTTAGTAACCCATTTATTTGATATAAATATTCATTATGATAGCTATGTAGGATCACATACCACATCATCTTGTTGTTATGTAGTTACAACTTGAAATGATATGTGTAACGTTAACTTTTATCAGAATGCATTTCAGAGAATCAAGATCCAACCCGTCAAAACATTTAAATATGTTTGTTAGTATACATACCATATTTTACCGTTTAACATACATGTAGGGCTAGAAATCCTTTTTTTCTGCATGTGCAGGTAACATCCAAAATTGAATTATCTGCACCAGACAAAATTTACCTCCACTCAGACTTTAAAAAATAGGGATCATACTAAAAACTGTTCAAAAATTATTACGGACCGTTATGTATTTGACACTCCATATGTGGAAACAGTCAATGCAGCAAATAACAATCGACATACACCTATATAAACCCAGTACATGGACCAGTGCAGGTTAGGTGCAAGTAAACATCAAAAATATCTGCACACCTCCAATATTACCTGCACTAAGGTTTCCTATGCACCCAGTATTTTGAGATCTGTACATGTAAAACACAAGAAGACAGCAGCCTTTCCATGTCTAAAAATGTAACATCTCAGACAGTATGGGCAGTATCAGGGTTAAGTGGAAAGGACATGCTTTCATAATTCATATCCATCTATTAGTTGAGTCTTGAGTGGCATGTCAGACTATCTGGGCAAGATCAGGCTGGAGCAGTAATGACATGTTTGATATGATCCAGACACGTGGGTCTCCATAATTGATTAGAAGTAGCATGATACTGTAAGAGATAGCTGTCTGTCTTCCTTAGATGATGCTAGGGGCTATTCCAATTAGATAGAAATATAGGGATCAGGAAGGCTGTTCATTAGAATATATTTTTTGTATGAAGCAAAATGGGCCTGGTAAGTTCCACGTCAAATACCCACTACTGGTAATTACAGCCAACAGTTTAGATAGGCTTACACGTACATCTTGTGAGCTAACTCTAGTGCATGCAATGTTAACACATAACAACAGCTTGGTGCCAAAATACTGCTAACTTTACATGTTGCAGGTTGATGGTTAATAATATGTACCTTTTTATTGGATGGGGGAGTCCAAATGATTTACATACATGCAGGTCTGCTTCTGCATAACGTTATCTATAGCTACAAACAAACAAACCTGCCTTTTTCCTTAACGCAAAACCCTGAAAAATGTTATTGCTCCATGTACAGCATGGATGCACAGTCAAACCTGCCAAGGTGACCACCTCTTCAAGCTGGTGATCGCTTTTTCTTGGTCTCAAAAATTTTCCCCATTTCCTATACCGGCCCATGGTGACCATGTCATTTTCAATCGTGTTGATTATTGATGAGAACTAATGTGAAATCATGGAGCCAGCCAGTTTGCCTCGACGGCTGGACGATGTTTTTTGTTCCAAGTAAATTGTGCCAAGTGCCACCCTCCCCACATGCATTTGCCACAGAACTGAAGGTGCTTACAGCATTTAACATTAAAACATCTCGACTTGCATGGAAACCATTTACAGTATGTTTCAGCCATGTTGTATGCCAACCTTCTACAATGAGTCCAAAGTGACCACTATTCTTTGGGCCCCTGGTGGTCACCTTGGGCAGGTTTGACTGTATGTAAATTTTGCAACGCCTATCATACATGTATGTCTTGTAAATGGTTTTTGGCCTCATACAGACATAGGACATGCATGGCTTGCCACGAGATCACATCATGAAGAACCCAATCTAATACTGCAATGAAATTGGCACCCCAAGGTGGCTATCTCAATTTCTTCTTTGTCATAATGCATCCTCATGATGATGTCTAGACTTTTCCTAGATACAAGCTTTATGTTTATTGGAAACTGCAGGAGATTGAAAATCTCCCCCTGAAACCAGTTATCAAACCGGGTTTATTAATGGGATACACACACAGCCTTCCCACTAGTCGCCTTATTCTTCAGATGATACTAACATTAGGAATACTGACATATTGCTTGAAAAAAAGATGTCTGATATGAACTAAATCAATCAATTGCATGACTCAATGTAAGTAACTGTTTAAAAGGTAGAAAATTTTGTAATCTAATATGAATATCTATAGATTATGATTTGATTTACTGAAATTGCAACAGATTATATTATAGATTATATATATTTACTTCTTATCATAAAGAGGAACATCTAGAATTATACATGAACTACATGTACATCAGTGCTAGAATGTTGTGCTTGCCTGTTTGTATAACTGCCCTTGGCTTTTCCTGTCAGCCTTGTCTGCCTATACATTTCAGTGGGCCTGACATGTCACAAGCCTGCAGACCAATTTACTGAGATTTACATCAGTCATACAAGCATCTCCACAGCAGGATTCTGGTGTACCTATGAGGTCCTTATACCTGAGTTTATGCTCACTCCACCGGGTAAAGCTAAATCCTTTAATCTGTTCATATTAGAGTGATTCATAATCTGGTTTCTTATCACATCCACATCTATTAAAAGCTTCATCAAAGAATTTTTCTACTAATGTAATAAAAAAGCCAAGATTTAATTTTATGGATGACATCCACATGTGCATTGATTTTTGCCTTTTCTCCAAAAAACCTCCTCCAAGGCTCTGACCTGGATACTGAGATACCACGGAACTCCAGAACTTGAAGTACAGTGCCGAAATGTTGCAAAATGCCAGCATGAGCGGGCTTGTCATATAAGTAGCTAATATGTATGTGCTGGCACAAATTCACAATACCAGCTTTGTATTCCCGTGGTTTAGCAGCATTTTTCTTATTTGCCCATGCACACCAGTTTGGGGGCCTTCGGAGGATGATATCCATAAAATCAAGTCAGTGTGGCCTAACATTCAAGTTAAGAGTAATGTCTTTCTGTTCCATAGCATATCAAACTGGTAACCAGTTTCTTTGCAAAGGATGCATTCAAATGAAGCCTACAGTATCCTTTTACTTACTTATTGCTACAATAGAAAAATAGCAATAGGTAACATGGTAGCCAATATGTACATGCAGAAACATGAATGATCTGTCCAGAAGATTTTTTGACAACTTTTTGTCAAGCACAGGAACATGATGGCTGTTAGTAATTCCTTGCTAGCAAAACAAGGAATTATTCTCTTCCAAGCAAAAATTCTTACTAAACATAACAACATTACCTACTAAAGATCCAAATGATTTTGTCAGATCATAAACTACAATTCCTTTAGGTGAAAAAGAAATTAACTTAGTTAGTTAGGTATAAATTTCCACAGCAGGTTTTGACCTCACATGCTGCCAATCACATTAAGGTGAAGTAATCTGCCTTAAGCAGCTTATCTCACTGCTGGTACATGAAATCCATGATTACAAGCCAGATCAATTTTTCCCTTCATCATTCCTAAAATGATTGCTAAATTTAGAAAAAATGGAAACAGTTTGCAGATTTTGTATCTAATAATAGGAAGGAAAACTATAATATTAAAAAAAAGGGTATTTTTACTTACTTTTAATACATGAAGACTAAAACAAGTAGTTGTGATGAACTTGTAATATAAAGGTAAAGATATCAAGAACGTACTATTAGAAACTTCAAGTTTAAAATGAAAAGTGTAATATGTAATGCTTACACACACATGCTCATCCACAGATGGTTTAGAGTAGGCAGAAGGACCATATATGTATGATATACATGTATGGTATGTATTGACACTGTAGACCTATGAACTCTTCAGCTTTTTGAGAGCACAGTTGGTACTTGTCAGCACTGTAGGTTTGGTATTATTGGGCAAAACCAAAGTCATCAGGCTTTTCAATCTGGCCAGGGCAAATGTTTGTATATTTGTCATTGTTAGAAACAAATTAACTAAAGTATCAGAGAGAAATATGCAAAATCCCATAGTTATTAGGAAAGAGAACTGTGTCTGAAATGGAAAATGCACAAAGATGAGACATATTTGCCAACAAACTCAACCTGTAACAAACTTGACCATGGAAAGCTTATCATACTGTTCACTGGAGTTTTCTTCTGACAGTTCACATTAACCTCTGGCTGGTTGCAGACAAGATCTGTTAGAGAATGAATTGTACATGCAGCCTGTGTAACCAAGCACGTCCCATCCATATAATGGCAGAACCAGCTTCTCATGTGCTTTTACTATGAAACAGTTGAAGATGTTCCTTTTGAAAATATGCCACAATGTACAAATTTCTAACTATACTTTGCAAAGGTTAAAAAAGCTGGAGTCATCAAGGAATTTAATGAGTAAAAAGAACTGAATCTCTTCTCCTGTATCATGACGCTCGTCACCATATTTTCATCATCTGCAGCTTCATCAAACCCTTTCTAAGGTGTCAATCCAGAAAATTGAACCTGCTCTACCTTGTTATTGCTCTGTTTGGACTGTCTCATCTTCTAACCTCACATTTCAATGTTTCATGAAACCACACGACTGCAAAGATTCCCAACGTACTAATCCTATAACAAATATATTCTAGCAGCGTCTTTGCAACAAAACCGCTGCGGGGTTCCTGACACCGTATCACGAACAACCTCGCGTTTGCATATCGTTGTTTTGAGCCGTGTTGTGATGCGTGTATGGTTTCAAACAACTTACCTTGTATGTCAGCGTTTATCTGTGGTCTTCTGTCAGGGCGAATGTCTTCCTTCGAGTAAAACTGGATGTTCCCCACCTCTTGAGTCCAGAGGAGCACCCCAAAACTTGAGTCCCGGCCATCCAACCATTCTTGCAAAATCTGCCCCATCTCTATCCGCAGATACCCCGATCCCTGCTGACAGTCTCGCACGTTCAGCCTTGCCTCAAAGCGGGGATCCGGAGGGGTGGCGTCTCCTGCCCGACCTGAGGTGTCCAGAAAAGCCTGCTTCCACTTCTTCCCGGAAACCCTGTTGACAAAAGTGGCTCGTCTGCTCCATCTCCGTAGCACTTTGCTTAGGAAAACCGTGGTTTCTTCATCCAGGGGTTCTACTGAGGGACCAGCGAGAGCCACATAAGGTCTGCATCGGAGTATGAGCTCAGCTCGCTTCACTTTCAGACTGTCTTTATAATTGTAACGGTACTTGAAGCTGTTGCTTTCCAATATGGAAGTAACGTTAAAATATAATAGACTTCTCATGAGTGGCGATCCTCCGACCTCCAAGAACTCCATTTCATTTGAATTTTCCGCCACCATCTTTCCAATAAACGTGTCCCGGGTAACCTCCAAGCTGGCCGCGCCGCTCTGTCCCGCACTGCACCCGCCGAGAAAGCTCAGCAAAGCGGCGAGCAGCAGCAACAATCTCGCCATCTCGTCCGGCAAATCTCCTTCCTGCTCAGCCGATACGTCCTAGATGCACACCTGACAGAACGGAAAGTTCCATAGGGAACACGGAATACGCGATGCAGAGAGAGTCTGGGAAAATTCCTTCAGACTTGTGCCAGGCTCACACCCCAGTTGATCTTGGCCCCTCCCCCAATCTCCGCCTCCCTGAGCCGGTCCCCATCTCCACTCCCTCATTTTCAGCGTCAACGACAAGCTGTTCAGACCTTCACAACAGCAGGTGACGACTCGGCACAGCAAATAGACTGCGAGGTCCGAATGGGAGTTGTCTGAAAAACAAGAAGGAAAATCCAGCGGTTAGGGCCACTTCCCATCGCAAATGACCAAGGGAAGATCGACTGAACATTTACATGAACACGGGAGCTTCTCTTGCGCCGGAAACTCGGGACGATTTCATTACAGCGGGAATCGCGGGGGTGTACTAATATCTTTATTCCCATATCGGCATTTCATTTTCAGACCAACAGGACGTTCACGTATTAATCGGACTGGCGAGGAAAAACGCAATTTCCGTTTCATTGATTCTTCTTTTTCCGTCTTCTACGCTCTGTTTCAACTAAGGTTTTATTACTTGTATTTTGAAATGAGGTAACATTTCACGTTCCACAACAAATGATAACATTTGCTGCGAAATGTTCCTTAGGGTATACTTAGGTCCCATGGGAACATGTGAAATATTGACTTTTGCCCGCATCCACAATATATCTATTGTCACGTTTGAAACACACTGTCGAAATGTATTTGTTACAGCTCATAAAAAAGTAAGACAGTGGTTTTCTTTTTTTTTTAAGGTAAACGAAAGGACTGAAATATTAAATAGCGATTTTTTTCTTTTTGCTCAAGAAACAGGTGGGTTTGTAGGACATCAATCAACGATCTGTCATCCCGAGCTCAGGCAATTGGCATCAAAGGAATGCCGCGTGGGACCGCGAACCTTTCCCGGAAATTTCGAGGCGTGAGGCGCCCTTGATTACAATCGATCGGCACCCATTTTATAAAATCTCTCCCCCTACGCAAACGCAATAGTCCGACTTTCAAAGTGAAGTAAAGGATTTAACATGGCGCTGTTCCTGACGGGTTGGTTAGCTACAATGGTACGTTTGGGATATTACACACATGCATTAATTGACTCACAACCCCAATAAAGAAGAAAATAGCGTGAGGCAAAAGTCGTGTCGTAGTACCTAACCAATCATACTCCTTTTTCATCTGTCCGAATAAAGGTTTCGATCGGGGATTATTTTGTTGTTGTTTTCTTGAGACGTCTTCAGTGATTCTATGTTTTCCTAGTAGTCCACAAGGGAGAAAATGGCAAAAATCGCGGCCACTACATAAAATCGTGTAAAAGGCCTGAAAAAATAACCACCGTGAGCATGTAGACCCAAGGCTGCCAGCTGAATATAGGTTGGCGAAATCATCACATCAGAGCCCTGCCTATACGGAGTAGCATTACACATTTCGCCACGATACGCGTTGTAGAGCTCCACATGACATGCTGAAGTGCACGAGAAAAGGAACATTATCCTAATTGGCTTTTCAAGGATAGCATCAGTGCTGAACCATATCTCGCCAAGCGTAGTAGTAATGATGAACACAGAATACTCCATCTTAGAATTTGAATACATAGAGCACAAACTGCCGGCACAAAAATGCTCGTTTGTTTGTTTGCTAAACGATGCACTAAATCGAATCTGCCCGAAACTTTTCCTACGTACAGCAATATTTTTCAGCAATATTTCGTCTAGTCTACGTCGTTATGTATTTCACGTCGACTGCGAAATAATTTTAAAATCAGTACTGCGACAGAACCATAACTGTCCATGATTCTATCTCTTTTCTCAATTGACCAAGATCCCTTACATCCCATCTTGGAAAACAATAAATACAAACTTTATTGAACACCAATTGTGCAAAGGTACAACGTATGGCGACTACTGCTGTATAACAATGGACATACTGTGAGACTTATCTACATGTACCTTTAAAAGACTTATATATTATCATGTGGGGAGTGAAGATGCGCTTTTTAAATTGGTGGAATTTGTAGCGTTTATTTTTGTAACTATGTATGTGCCCTATATATGTGCAATGAATGGGTTTGTCGCATGTCAATATGTACTTGAAACATGTCACTAGGTAACCAATAAGAGATAGCCGGCATAGAAGATGATAGACTGAATTACCTATATCAAAATAGTCATTAGTTATGGACAAAACGTTTGGTCAACAGATATTTTCTTTAATCACTCGGTTTCTTTACTCAATTTGTGACAGCCGTTGCTGAGCCTGTTATTGCTCTACCCCCTTCTGAACCATAAGGCTGTAGGCGTGAGATTTACAACTGCCATTATATCGTGAGACCTGCTCTATATATTTTGTGTTTTGATTGTATGTGAACCCATATTTCAAGATCTGATGGTTAAGGTTGTATCGCAAAACCATGGCAATAAATATATGCACCGTAATGTAGTACAGAAAATGAAATAATAGCACAGAGGCATTCTCTAATACCTCCAACATCATTGGTTGACGTTGATACTTGTAGAATAATGGAATTTTTGATGTAATGAAAATATGTTGGTCAGCCTGCTAATTTTGCATGTTTCTGTTATTTGGTTAATTTTTGTTAACTTACCCCGCTATCTTCAATTGTTTTCAATACTGATTTCCTATATTTGTTTCATGGACAGAAATTTAAACGAACTTGGATATGCCGACTTGGTCCGATACTAATATATTGGAATTCGAACACTTTCAAGTGCGTAAAAAGCGCAATTGATCAAATTATTCTCACACAGAAAACACACAGCAAAAGCAAAATAAAAGTCAGCATTTGTTTGTTCTTGTTTTACTATTCGGCACTTGTGTTTAAAGGTCATATTTAACGGTGCCTGAGCCCGTACGCGTGTGGTCCCGCGCGTGCTTCATTTTTCATACTTGGGACAAGAATTGCCTGATTCCCCATGTATAGGCAAGTCACAGACAAGCATCGTTTCTTCGTTTTCCTTGACAATATTAACCCCGAATTATTCTGAAATTCTTATTGTCGCTGTCAAATGAAAGAATATTCAGATATGCAGCCCACTTAGACTGAGACGCTGAGGATATATTGTCTGGAGGTCTCCCTGAAGATATTATCTCGTAATCGCTGGAACTAGTGCCAAGGAAATGCGCAATGCACCCCGTGACTAATGTCATTGGAGAGGGAAATCTAAGTTAATTCTTATAGCTAAGCATCAAATCATGATATCAGAAGGCTGTGGGCTTCAGATGTGTAAACCAAACGATTTGCAATATGCATGCGGCAACCCAACCTTTTCACCGCAGAACGTTAAATGTGAAGAAAAGCATAAACGACAATCGTGTTTTTGTACGATAGAACCTGCCTTTGCCTCTCATTGCGCGCGCGCGCGCGTGTGTGTGGTATGTGTGTGTGTGTGTGTGTGTGTGTGTGTGTGTGTGTGCGCGTGTGTGTGTGTGTGGCGTATGTGTGTGCGCGCGCGCGTGTGTGTGTGTACGTGTGTGTATGTGTGCGTGTGTATGTATGTGGTGTGTGGTGTGTGTGTGTGTGTGTGTGTGTGTGTGTGTGTGTGTGTGTGTGTATGCTTGCGTGCGTGTGTTTGTGTGTGTGTGATGTGTGTATGTTTGCGTGCGTGTGTGTGTTTGTGTGTGTGTGTGTGTGTGTGTGTGTGTGTGGTGTATGT